CTGAAGAATGAAGTCGCCAGCACAATGAGCTTCACGGACATAATGCCACTCTTCCAGGTCATAAGTATGGGCTTCTTCGCCACTAGATACCGGTAGCTCGAGCACGCGATGAGCGAAAATGACTCTTTTGCTACTCTATGAGTAGCAGTCGTAGGAATTATTTGTCTCTCACTGGCGTTCGCTATATGTAACATCCGGAAATATGCGTATCCCACTGCCTTCAGTCCACAAGCGGTATGCCGACAAAAGCACCGTCTCGACTTCAGCTTTGAATCAATATGTTACTCCCATTAGCCTAGTGATGCGCGTCTAGTGATGCGCATTATCTTTAACAAAGGAATTCCCATTACTTTAATTCATTCTGCTGTTTATCCCTTAAGGAATTTGCCTTGGACTCAGGAACGTTGATACATGTAAGCGTCAAATCACCGTAGTTTCGCCTGGTCTTCGGTGATGTGGGACACACGGTTATCTAGGGCTCTGGTGACGTCTATGCAGGTTGCACCTGGTCCTTAACCCTTATTCATCTGTGTCAGGTGAGGCTACTGTCACACTTTGAGTAAATAGAGCAACAACGGTTGCATAGGTGAGTCGGTCTTTAGAGCGCTTTGGATTTCTGGTCAATCGGAAGGGTGGGGATTACCGAGGTTACACCAATCGACACATTTAATAAGAGGATGGCGGCGGTGAACCTAGGGGCGCTTTTATCGTTCGCAACCATGACATGGTTCATGTTTCCCAAAGTTCTAATCCTGCGCGTCTGTACGAACACCTGACATTTTTGGTTACTACTTGCCATTGGGGAAGACGGATGAGGTGCAAGCTGTGCTAATGTCGCTTTGAAGGAATTAATTTTCGCATTTACACGATGTTCAGTTTCCGTGACTAGACCGCCGTAATTCTATGCTAATCCTTGTACACATGTTACAAGTGGAACCCCCATACATTTAGGACAGAACCAAAATGAGTTGGGCGTATTACCTTCCTTCATTTTGATTAGACATGCGGTGACGCACTTCGAAGGGTACCGGCTAATGCATCTGTACATATCGAGCCTACTTTTACTACCTTAGCACACGCCTGGTTAGCACAATATACTTCGAGGTTGTGACCTTAATGGCCGAATGGTCGTTGCCTTGCGGGTACGCGGCGCGTCGCCGTCGCTGTCGCCCAACATTTGGTCGCCGCGCTTCAGATCAAGGTCACGTGACTGGCTCATGGTGCTTTGTGTATTGCGTCCGTGAGTCAGACGATTGCGGGTAAGGCGTCTGGTGCAGGCAATTGTTGTACTGGACTGATTGGTCGATTGCACCTGGTGAAGTCAAGAACAGCGAGATTTGGCGGTTGCTTCCCTGAGAAACGTTCACCGTAGGGACGTTGTTTACTCCGTAGCTGTAACACACGGTGACGAATTGAGACGAGCAAAGACTTGCTCGAAAGCTGGGCGACTCCTTCATCGAAAGCTGCAAAACTTCTGGGTAGGTGATTAAACTGCGCGGAAAGTCACGAGTGAATAGGCGCAGAAGTGTTCAAATTTGCACAATCCGATAGAAGCAATCTCCACTGCAAAGATCCCAGAAACATGCTTTCAGTAAATGGAGCTCGTCAACTCCATAGGAAAAGTGTAAATCCAGTGACGTGCAACAAAACGTTAAGTAAAATATGCGGAAATACGTAGAGCGGCCACCATCTTTGAGTGTCCCATAGGACGTTCATGGGGAATATTGCAAAGTATCGAAAATGTGGCAGCACAATTATATTCACAAGGGTGGATTCATGGTAGTTTAGGTAGTATAAGCTTTATATCCACGGTAAGTTCAGAAGTAATGATGACAAACGGGTCGTTAGTGAAAACTGCCGCCTCCTGGTGAAGCCTTTCTGCTCGGTAGTTTTCTCCCGAAAATGTTTTCTAAGTCGATGCGGCATGGGACTTTGTCACAACACAAATGACAACTTTTGATAAACGCCAGACCGTTAGACCTAGCACTTGTTACAGCCACTGCGCAACATTATTCGTCGTAGCTTCCATGGAAAATGCTACCAAGGCGTCGTTTATTCGGATGCCGACTCCCCGGGATGAACAGCTCCGAGCCCGTGCGCAAAGTAGCTTGAAGAACGTTGCCTGTTTACTTAATTTAAACGTGAAATTCGGTCGTAGTTGAATCCAAAGATTGAAATCAAGGGAACCGAGAGGAAGAGGAGGTGGCCGTCACAGATTAACTGACAGAAAGCCACACATACTTCCTGCTTAGTTGTTTTTGCAAAACCAACAGTAGTTTGACAGTGATGCAGTCATAGTACCGTAGCCAGATACACATAATATAAACGTTAGCTAGAGGTGGGAAACACGTCAGTTATTGTACCGTAATACCTAAAAGAAAAGTAGGGAATAAAATGCTACAAGCACAAGCCAGCTGAGCTACCGGTAACGGATGGGCATCGTTCCGGTAAGCTATCTGCCGGCTACTATGCAGCAAATAAAGTAATTTCCTATGCAAAATTATAAAATGTTATCTAAGGAGGTCGTGGTCGGAGGGGAGGCTAAGAGGCATGGGGTGGGACAAAGAAACTCACAGCACGAACGCCACTGAGGTCGGCTCCTAGACATATCAACAAGTGTATCCAGCCAAACATGTTCATCGTCTTTCGGATCCCAACCAGATACCAGATATATAGGGAGTCAGCTGAAAACTATGAAGAGGTTACACACCATTCCGGAATCTATGAAGACGCTGGAGAACAAAAGATGACGGACATTCCTCGTCTTGCTTCTGCTGAATTTTCTACGGGAAGGAAAGCAAGCTGTGTGCATCGACGAGTCTAATTTACTCTCTTTTATGCCCGCACTAGGGGTTGTTCTCCACCAGGTGTACTGAGGTGGATAGTTGCGTCCAAAATATGCGTGCGGTCGGTGCTGTGACCAACGACGAATTTTGTATTGGTCTATATTACATTCGCTTGATCTGGTGCAGCCTATTCAAAAGAAATTTTCCAGTCGTGAGTTGGCGTTGACGCATTGGGAGTTAATATCCATGAAATGTGCTTCGAAAATGGAAACGAATTTCCGGCAGCTAATTGGGCTTCGTATCCACCAATGCATAGGCTAAGAACGAGGTTCAAAATCATGGACATTCTATAGGAACGTGCCGCAGTGGATATCACGGGTATTGTGATTCCACTGGAGATTCTAGTAGAGTAGTTTCCTCATCTGGCAGTCCCAATTGTCGGGCATCAGACAAAGCTCTTTGCTGTTCAGCTTTTATTTTGTCCCTCACAGGGCGGCTGCTAAACAAGTGCCGATCGAAATTAAGTCCAGTTAGGTGTACGTTAAAAGAAACCGATCTCATTATTATGCTACAGTTTTGTGGCACATTTTGATTCCTTGAGCGTTCTCGTATCAGTGTGACTCATGGCACGTCTTGCAAACAGTAACCACATCAACTTCATGGTATCTGCATTATCTCTCTGGGTCCACTGTCTTCAATTTGTTTACAAGCCAGACAATTCCCTCTACAGCCAGTAGAGACATGAAGTTCCTTCCAATTTTATTCACTGTGCAGCCGAAAAGAGGCGCGATGCTACAGCGTTTTCTATAGCATTATCGCCGCAAGCTTTCGTGATTTATGCAAGACCAACTTCTCGATGTTTCACGTGATGGTACGCTTCTAGTCAGCTTGTTTCTCCATTTCTTTTTATGAGAATGAGCTGTTCTATGTCCCTTTCTTTTCTGCTCAGGCCTATATTGCGGACAAATCAGAGGAGCATGTGGAAAGCCCGGTACGGTCTTCTCTAATGTCACAGTGTCTGAGTGCTGTGCTCAACTAGCAGGCGATGAGGGTTTGAATTCCTCAGGAACTCTCAAAATACATCCAGCTTGATAAAAAGTGACACAGTTATGCTACTCTAAACTACACAGTCAATTGCATGCATCCTTCCTGAAAAGGACTGAGAAGATATAAGACACTAATCGTGATTAGAGTGTTTCATATGATGTGAGTACGACGCCACCAGTCTATTGACAGCGTATCGGTGTACCAGTTCTCATCCGTCAGTAGATGTTGTGTACTAGTGTACTTCCTGGGCATTTTCAAGTGGCACAGGCAGCTTCATGCCTAAAATGGCATGCTTTATCTGTTAAGGTGGGAAGGATTTTCTTTACGTTTACTAGCACTTAAGTTGTTATGGAATGTACCAACAAAAAGCATAGATTTCTGTAAAGGATAAGTTAATGGTAAGGGAGAAATATCCTTCTGTTTAATTGTGGCGCAGCACAGCGTTGAAATCATTGTGAGAGTTAGGATTGGCTTATATGTGGTGCAACGAATTACCGAAAGATGAGATCAAAATTTTCTATGGTTTACAATGGTGAAGCACAACTTTATCAACTCCACTCTTATTGGGCGGACACCACAACTCAGGACTTTCGAACAGAAAGTTGTATATGTAATACTATGTTCCTAAACCTGCAGCGTCTGTCATGAAAAGCCATCTGCTACAAAACGCGGTCGTTCCAATGGTTGTTTCTCCTTGGAACAGAGTAAACTAGCGTCGAAGTATTGATCTGAGCGGCGATTTTTTGCAAAGCTGAAGCTGACCCTATTCAGCATTGCTCATATACAGTCGTATTTTCGAACAGCCACTTGAGCTTAAGATGGTATTTTTATAGGAGTAAGGATTTCGGTTGACATCGTCAAAATTAGCGGTAACTACGCGTCATCGAAGTGTCATTTCTAGAAGGAAGCGTCTACTATCACACACATAAGACATTCTGTAGTGGTTAGTGTGAAGCTTCCGGGGTAAACTGCTTTTTACAGTTATCCTACTGCATGCTATAATATTAAAAGTTTCTTTATGGTTTCCCTGCAACGTATATGTAAACGATTAGTTCATTTAAGTAACCCTATTGCATTCTCCCAAATTCCCAGATAGCAAAGTGACAATAAGATAATATTTCGCATTAATTTTCATAGCACCCCGGCGATCGCGTATTTTCACGAGAAATGCCTATAACAATACACCATCAACAGAGGCATCCATACCATCGATACAATAACAGCCTCACGAGCTGTTTCGAGGCTGGAGACGAAGCATGCAGCGTCATGTGTGGGACGGTGAACTTCTTGTCCAAACCTCTTATTGTGCTTATACGCATGAAGCGAGGAATCACGCAGTCATGTGCCACCGAAGTGGACATTCCCGTACGATTTGTTTTCGTTTATATGGGCCCTGTGTCAAATGAATTACGCTATACCAAATTGGGAAGAGTCTTCGCAATCATGATGAGCAGCAACGTAAGTTACAGTTAGCATAATACCACGCAGTTCTAACTGTCTGAGAGATTTGCCTGAAACACATCGCTGCATTGTGTTATCCAAGTATATATCAGCTTAGTCATTTTAAAGCTTGGTTAACATTTTACATCCACTTTAATTATCTTATTAGTTCCTTGTTTATGTGCATATTTACTTTTTTTCATAAGAAGAAAATATAAGCCCATCCTGTGACAACCATACAGAGCAGTTAAATCCATAGGAGCGGGTGAGAACGTGTATTCGCTAACCGAATTTGGAGCGGTAATTCGCAAGTTCCTTTTAGAGAGACGATAATTACGAGCGTTTATACGTCTAGTTCCAGTGTCTGTGATGCAGTGAAAGGGGAAAGGAAAGTTTTTGTCCTGTTGCACGTGCCATACACAACTTACCACTGAGGATTTTCGACTCGTATATGAATGAGGTGACAGAATTCTCAGAATTCGCACAACAGTGGCACTGAGAGCATGAAGTAGAATGTCAGCTTTTCAACAATTTATCACTGGGAAAAGTATTAGGAAAACTGACCAGACAATCAACGAAACATCAATGCTTCCCATTCTCTATTTAGTAATCCCTCGCCCCATCTTCCTCCTCCTCCTACATTGCTTCGATAACATAATCAGGATACCTTGTTATCACTCAGTCCCTCCACCGCCGACTTATCGTGGAAAGAGCACACGGTTACGTTAATCATTATTGTGCGTTACACACAGATTGACGGATTCGTTCATACTTGCTAGAAAAAAGGGCGGAACGGCATTTAGTTTGATGAAGGTCGGTGCGTCTACCATGTGAACGCCACGAAGTCACACAAAGCTGGAAATCATGTGTAACTAGGGTAGCACCTGCATGACAACATTTCGGCGGATTTCATGTTGCTTATGTAATTAGACTGACTCAACAAAAGGCTTTGCTTAAACAGGTACCCATAACTGGAATTATTAGCATTCAGGATACGTATACAGGGTGCTTGCTATTCAGGTAAGGAAGCGAGACAAGCGTAAGGTGGGTAAGTTACCTGTACTTGGTAGTTAAAAGAATAGAAGACACTAAAGTTAACACCAGTACTTCAATATACGCAAACACTGATAATGGCCGCCCCCCTATAACTTAGCCTTATTCTGTATCCGGTGAAGGATGGAAACCAGTGGATCAAGTGACTTTAGTTTCTCATTGTCAACAGTTAAAGGACCAGTAAACAGCCAATGACCCAGTTAATGTACACGACACTCTCAGACGACAATGACCTTGCGGTGTTGAGCTCGCTGCATCAAGATCATCAACTAGCACGATAAAGCTGTTCACACCATAGAGATGAAATGAATTTGCTTTGAGCCAGGTTACAAAGCTGTCTTGCGTGACCTCGTAAAGGAAGATGGTATGGGGTTAGAAATGGAAAGGGGCAAATGAGACTACTCCAAGGGATCCCATTCATTAAGGATACTATACAATAATAATAAAATACGTCGGGAATAGGGAAAGAAAACGTCCTCACAAATCATGGGAGCCACTCTACTGGCCGATAGATGTTGCGGGAACGTCAAGCCATTACACATAGATACGCAACCGCTGCACGAACTCCAAAACTCGCTTACGCAACCAGAAAAGATGGCCGCATGTCACTTGTAATGCGACCACCCGACTGCCGACTCATGATGTAGTTGAGTTTCGTGAACTTAAACGTTCCGCCGGAACTCAAGCCCGGCATAATGAGTAATTTGTGCTACAACTCAGGGGGTAACTGAACTCCGTGTCGCCCTCTACTGCGTAGCAATAGCTCGGTGAAATGCCTGTCTTTGATCTTTCTGGTCGGGATGCAGTCGCAGGGGTTAAGGTTCATCTCCTATTGCATGCGTCTCCCAACTGACAACCTTATGTCATCATCTTGACGGCGGCTAGGCTTCACAGGCGTTATCCCGTGCTTGGTCCGGTGCCTATTCGTCCACACCACGATCCCAAGTGACCGTTTCATCTCAGCGCGTCCAAAGAAAAGTTGGTCGGTAACGGCATGCCTTACAGAAAAGAGCGATCATCGGAAGCGGACTTCTCGTCAAAATAGCGAACGCCGTTGGAAATTGGGTTTTGCTCGCCCAAAAACACTGCCTAACCACGACACGTTTCGATGTGATATGATCTCATCAGGTGGCGATAGCAGGCCTCGAATCCGTGACCACTGGAATAGAAGCCGCAATCTCTACCCCTTTGGCTACCGGGCAACGCTTGGTACAACGGTTACTGACTGGTTGAAGGGTCACTTTGGATTTCACGTTGTGTGCTTGGATTACAACGCGCAATCTCAATGTGGACCGCGATTCACATTGAAGCGAACCTTGGTCACTGCGATTGCTGGGATCGTAGCCGAAGCAGATGGAAATTCGGTGTTGCCTACCCGAAAACACTGTGCAAACACGACGCGTTTCGATCTGATTTGATCTCCTCAGGTAGAGGTAGCAAGCCTCGAATCCGCGACCATTGGAATAGTAGCTGAAACCTCTACCTCTTTGGCCAAGGTTCACTTCAGTGTGAATCGTGGTCCACATTGAGATTGCGCGTCGCAATCTAACCACACAACCTGTAATCCGAAATGACCCTCCAATCAGCACACGCAGTTGTTTTTGGCCTTTGGATAGCGAGATACTTCTGTAGCACTTGTTGCGTAGTGAATACTTGGTTCAGGCATCCGCGTCGTGGTTTAAAGCAAGTCCACCACTCCCTCATTCTTGATCTTGACGCTGCGGTGCATTGACAGAATGACAACCATATTATCTACTTCATACCTACCGCTATTAATCTCACCTTTTCTGGATACCTTTAACAACCGTGTATTGTGAGCTTTAGTTTGAGAGATGCTCCACACCTGAGAACCGTGACGTTCAGCGAATGCAGGCCATCTTCTACTCCATCACCTTTGCTTATGCACACTGTACGCAGATACAGTAAAGCACACGGAAGCACTCTGTTTGCGTTCCAACCCTGGATTTCGGTCACTGTAGCCTATGTACCACTGGGCTAACGTGGATGAGCACCAGACGGCGGTTTTATATGGCTTAAGAGACATGTTCTTTAGAAGTGTGTTGGATGGTCTGGCCTGAGATTTTGTAAACTTTTACCTGTTCATGTTGAAATGGTTGTACACCACTTGCTGTTTTACAACGGGGTTAGATGAATGCGAACAAGACTGAGGTTTCTGTCGTTAATTTGCGACGAATAAGTGACGATGAGCGACGAACTAGAGCTGGCTGAGTACATCATTAAATCTTCTCCCAACTACGGCTATCTATGTCGCCAAAGCCACTGAGCCAGATACCGTACACAAGAAAAGACTAGGATTTTGCCTCAACCCACGTGGTATTAGACAGCGACCTATCCAAGTTGGTGTTGCTGCTATAATCCAGCAAATAGCGGCACACATTATCTATTTTATGCAGGAGCAGGTAACTCATTGTAAGGTCGTCAAGTCTCCGACGATGCCTTCCAGTGCATAATTCTACAGTTTCAATCTCGACTTGTATTGAAGGTAGCGTGTTCCACTGACTTCATCGGAAGCTGGATGTTGTGACTGACCCAGGGAAACGATTTCGGATTTTGGTCGTGGCTGCGGAGCTTGGGCCGCGCAATCTATGTGAGGACGGGTGACTGGCGGAAAAAGCGACCTCTGTGTTTTATCGCCCTTCTCCATAGTCCAACGTGTTCAAACTAGCTTTCTATGACATTTCGAATTGCTCGAAACAGCTCAACTTACTGCGAACAAATACATCCAGCTCTCGTTCAAGAGAAAATGGATGCACTACTGGGTATCATCCAAAGCACATAGAAGTGCGAGTGCCAAGACTAAAACCCGTTTCCATGGAGAAGTGGATGATACTGGTCGGTACCGGGGTGTCCGGGGTGCCAGGGAGGAGTAGCACCTCTTGTAAGAGACCTGCCTTACCCTCCGGGGTAGTTTGCCTATCTTTGGTCTCCACCTGTCACTCAGCTCTCACCTGTGGCTCCAAAAAGCTGCTTGCACACGGCAGCGGCCACAACCCGACCAGTCATCAGGCAGGCGGGCTAAACCAGGTGAGGGTAGCCGGGAATACTTTTCCCGGTGACTTCGTACTCACGTGCGACGTCAATCCTGACAACCTGGCGGAAGAGATCGACCCTTGATCCAGCTGCCAGAAGTTAAGACAATTTCCCAGATCCCTGCTGCCTTGCAGGTAGCACTTGGTTGTGTAAAGGCTAGTGGTAAACCCTCCAACAAAAGCCGGATGAGGTTGGGGACCTCATACTTACCCATAATCCCCACAAAACGTCATGACATGTCCGTTACCCGCGATTCTTCTCATGCTACGTCGTTCACGGTAGGCGACGCGTTCTGCGCTGACCCAGTGGTCAGAATGAAAAGTAAGCTATCTGGGTCCCTCAATCCCCGGAAGTCACTATTCATTGGATGTTGGAATGTCAGAACCCTGTTGGATGTCGGCAGCCAAGCGTTGATGATGCGCACGCTCCATGACTACCAGATCGACATAGCATGACCATCAGAATCTCCAATACCCGGCTATGGCTCTCGACAAATCGAAGTCCCTGGTGCGAAAACTACATATTTCTTTTACCACAGTGGGCCGGAAGATAATTCTGGCAAGCAAGGGGTCGCCATGGCTCTCAGTTGCTAGGCACACTACGCTCTCTTTTCATGGAATTCAGTATCAGCTAGAATAGCAGTTGCACGCTTCAAAGGTCACCCTATGAATCTGACCATAATCTATGCCTATGCGCCAACCCTAACCTCAGCGGAATGGGACAAAGACGAATTTTACGATACCCTAAAGACAGTGGTTAACCATGTTCCAAAACGCGAAATCCTCATTATTGCTGGGGACTGGAATGCACGAACCGGTCCTAGGAACGATCAAACCCGTCACATACTCAGGAGATACGCCCATGGAGAGCGTTGTGATATTGGAGACCGTTTGCTCAGCTTCGCCGACCTTAAC